CTGCAAAAGGCTCCCGTGGCGGGGCTGTCACCGCCGGGACCCACGGGCGGCCCCCGTCCTCCGTGGACTTGCAGCGGGACTCGCCTGTGTCGGGCCGCAGGCGTGGCGCTGGTCCGACGCTGCCGGAACCCACTGCATTAATCGTGCCGGCCGGTGGCCCCTCTGACGCCCCGGCCCTCGTCATGGGGAGGTCACGCCACAGGTCGCCTGGAAACAAGACGTCACCGTAGGGGCCTGCGTGTGTTTATCTGGGTCTGGCCTTAAGCCCTTCGTGCGCGGTGTGTTGATGGGGGGGGGGGGGCGTGCGACCAGACTGGCCTGCTGGAGCTCAGTGGGGAAGGAGTGGGATTCCGGAAGCTTCTAACCAGCTGACATGGGATGGGCTGGGGCCAGAGGGTGGCAGGGTCCCCGAGGTTCCCTGAATGGGCAGTGCAGGGCGGCCCAGGGACCTGGGTTTTGGGGTCAGTTACAGCTCGTCTGAGTCTGTTCTTGGCCGTTGAGGGCCTTGGGGCCTTGTGCACGTCCCCAGTCCTGTCTGAGCCTCCATGTCCCCCTGGGTGGCCCGGTGACAGCAGCAGCCCAGGGGCGTCCAGCCCAGGTGCAGAGTGACACTCGGGGTGCGGCATGTCTTCCGGGCACCACCGCCTGCTCTCGCCTGCGGGAGGAGCCGTGCTGAGCCCGCCGGCCCTGGAGCCCGTGTCCTGTCCGGTTCATTCTCCAGACTGGCCGGTGGCCTCGCAGATGTCCCCCTGTGGCCCTCCCGTCCTGCTGTGGCCGGGGCTTCTGAGGCTTTTGTTCAGTGTGCAAAAGGAGAAGAAACCTTTACTCTAATTGCTTCCAGAGTTGGTGGGTTTTAATCAACCTTCATATTAAAATTCTCAATTTAATAACAAGATTTAAGGCTCAGGTCCCGCTTAGCCTGTGCCGTGGCGCAAGACAGGGAGGTGGGCCCTGCGTACCGTGGGGACACGTCCACGCAGGCGCCGTGCTCAGGGCCCCACCCCTGCCTGTGGACACAAGACCCAGCCATGGTACATGTGGCTGTGGGGACACATCCATGCAGGCGCCACGCCCAGGGCCCACGCCCCCACCTGCCCACACGGGGCCCGGCGTGGTGCTCTACCCGGGAGTGGCTGGAAGGGGCGCGCCATCCAGGACCAGGCTCACGTTTTCCTCGGAGTCAGAGTCTGGGCCTCTCGGCGCCGGAAGCTTCCCCGCAGGCCCGTGCGGGGGAGAATCTCAGGGTGGCCTGAGAACCTGCCCGCAGCGGGGCCTGTTGGATCTTGGGACCTCAGGAGCCCCCGACCGTGTGTGAGGACAGTGACGTCTGTCCCGTGCCTGAGCCGGCTCTGGAGTGACACGTTCCTGGGTGGACAGCGTCACCAGCCCCTGCTTTGTTCTTACGAGCTCAGAACTGCAAGGTTGGGAAGGAAGTGGGGGTTGCCTGGTCCCAAACCCCCAGGCTGCAGGGAGAGGAGTCGTGCCCGGGCCCACGTGGCAGAGCTGGGGTCCCCTTGGGCTCTGCGTTGGGAACGTACCACCAGGGCCAGCGTCCACGGAAGCCACGCCAGCTGCAGGCCCGCTGCCCAGCCCGGGCCCCGTGCAGGCGCCCACTTTGGGGGAGCAGCACCTGTGCTGGAGAGAGAACGGCCCTGCGACCATCGCGACCCGCTCCCGAGACTGCCCCGAGCTCCCCGGAGCAGGAGGACCGCAGACGTGTGCGGACACGGCGCTCCCAGAGCGGTACCACTGCAGCGCCGAGGACACAGGCCCGGCCTTCCTGGCCAGACTGTCACCTATTAACTGGTGACCCTCAGCACGTTCACGGAGACCTCGGTTTCTCCGCCTAAAGATGTGGGCTAGTCGCTCCCTCTTTTGTGAGTGGGTCACAGGGTCACTACGCCCAGCGGCGGTAGCCTGGAGAGTGGCGGCTCTCTCATCCCGTGGCCCCGACGTCCTCAGCTGGCTCGAGTCTCCTGCCGCGGGCTCCCCTGTCGTGGGGGGACAAGGACAGGGCTCTCAGGTCAAGTGTTAGGTGACTCAAGGCCCTGAGGTTCCAGAGGCCAGGAACCGGGGTTGCGGTTAGGAGAGGTGTCAGCCCTGGGGGACAGCTCGTGGGCCCAGTTGGGGACAGAGGAGAAGGCGGCGTGACTAAGGAGACCACGCCGGGCACCGACATGAGAGACGGTGACGGGAGGGACAGTGATGGCTGCAGGAGGGCAGCGCGAGAGGTTCCTCCTCCGGACCCTCCTGTTCCCCCCAGACCCTGGGGGGCCACACAGCCACGTCTCTCCTCTGGGTGAGGGGTGGGATGCTCAGTGCCGATGTCACCTGCTTGTGGAACCCCACGCCGTGTGGCAGCAACAGGGTAGCACGGCCCCGACCTGGCACAGCGCCGGGGTGTTGGGGTGGGGGGGCCGTGGCCAGGCCAGGCTCCGTGCTCAGGGCCTGGGGCAGGGGTCCGAGGCTTCCTGGGGTCCGTCAGCCTGGGGAGTCTAGGGGTGGGACGGGGACTCGAGAACTCCCCCCGAGCCCGGCTGTGACCCGAGACAGAACCACAGAAGGGGCCTGCTGGGCCCGGGGAGAACGGAGCCCCCTTCCCAGCCCCCGGCAGCCCCCTTGGCCTGGCGGCGCTTCAGGAAGGGGGAGAAGGAGCCACCGGCAGCCACGTGGGAAGAACAAAACTGAGAGACGTGTTCACGGGCGAGGAGCTCTCACGGGAGAGACCGTCGGCCGTGACAGACACACAGGGGCCCGCTGCGGACAGAGGGCCTTGCTAACCGCGTGTGCGTGTGCCCCCCAGGCTCCTGATCTACGGGGAGTACTGCAGCCACATGGAGCACGCCCAGAACACGCTGAGCCAGCTGCTGGCCAGCCGGGAGGACTTCCGGCAGAAGGTCGAGGTAAGGGGCATTCCGGCGCTAGGTGCGGCTTGCTGGCCGGAGCGCGGAGCACCAGCCTCTCTTGTGCCCATTTCCAGGGAGCTGGGGACCGGAATATGATCCTGTTTTGCAGAGTTTTTTCTTTTGCGTTCTGTTTGTCAGTGGAGCTGGCTGGGCCCAGGTCACTGTCTTGGGTGGGAATGCAGCCTGAGTCCCCAGGGTGCCATGGAGGAATGGCATCGAGACCAATTTGTGACCCACCCCTGACCCTGGCCTCTGTTGAACCAGGGGGTCCCTGGTGACATCTGCTGGGAGCTGTGGGCCACCCCCCGAATCCTTACCCCAGGCCCTGGCCGGTCTGTGGTTCTCACAGGAGCCCCTCCCAGGCCCCCGTCCCCAGCCGCGGTTCCTGTGCTTTGCCTGGTCAGTGAGACCTGTCCCCAGAGAGGAGCCTGGTGCTCAGGCAGTGGTGGGGCAGGATGTTCCCCAGGAAATGCTCGATGCCCCTGAGTCCCGGCACCCGTGGGGCCCCTGGTTCCTAAGTGTGACCCCGAAGCTCTGCTCGAGATCTCTGCCTTGTTCTTTCCGAGGGCAGGCGGGAGCGGGGTGGCTGGGGGAGGCCACTGCCCTTTCCAAAGGACCTGGCCCGGAGGAAAGAACAGCCACGTCCAGGCAGGCCCAGTGGGCGCCAGGCGGGGGTCCTTTAGAATCCCGGTGTCTGGCTGCGTCTGGCAGCACCAGTGCAGACGCCTCGGGGTGGGAGGGGTGGCCTGTCCCCGCCCCCACTGCTGTGACCCCCAACCTGTCCCTGCACCCGCCTGGTTCGTGGACCAGCGCTGGGAGCCCGGGCGGAGAAGGCCCAGACGTCTGGGCCGAGTTTGGGGCTCAGGGCTCCCCGCCAGGCCCGGGGGTGGCGAGTGGGCAGGCGCTCCCCGGGGAGGGCGCCCCTCACCGCCCGGTCACCCCCAGGAGTGCACGCTGAAGGTCCAGGACGGCAAGTTCAAGCTGCAAGACCTGCTCGTGGTGCCCATGCAGAGGGTGCTCAAGTACCACCTGCTCCTGAAGGTGAGGCCCCGGCGCCGCACCTGCGCAGCCGTCCCTGCCAGCATCACGCACAGCCTGCCAGGCACGGCCGTGGCCCCTAGACAGATCGAGTTGAATGTGAACAAATTAAATAAGTCTGTACTCAGCTTGTGGTCACACTCAATACACGCGATCATTACCACAGTAAATGCAGCAAACGACGAAGGTCAGTAAGAGGTCCCAGAAACTGAAAGAGACAGAAAAGCATCCTCAGACCAGGAACGAGGGAGCTGCTGTGGTTGCTCAGTTAACCAAGTCTCTGAGCTCCCTGGTGGCCGCAGTGGAGATGGAAATAGGAAGGCCTTCAGGAGAGACAGGCCTGGGAGGGAGACCCTGGTTTCTGCAAGGTTTTTGTGACTTATCGTGACCTGCTGGTGTGGCACCCTGCTGTGGCTGCCACAGGTTCCCTTCCCATGGCATGCCCCCCCCACTGCCCCCATTATCCACGAGATTTGGGAGCACCCCTGCCGAAAAGTGGGGTGTCGCTGTGTAGGGGGCCGGCGCTCTCTGGCCTTTGGAATTGGGCGGCTGAACGAACGCCAGGGCCGTGGGTGGGGGTGGCTTTGTCCTGAGCACGGCCTTGCCCTGTGCACACCCCCCCCCATGCCAGGTGGGGGTCAGGGCAGGGGCTGGGGTCCCCGAGGGGTCACACCAACACCCCTCTCACCCTGCCAGGAACTACTGAGCCATTCTACTGACCGGCCTGAGAGGCAGCAGCTCAAAGAAGCACTGGAAGCCATGCAGGTGTGTGGGTAAACTGAGGCAGGGAGCGGCCAGGCCAGCGTGGGGCCAGGCACACCACGCCTGCGTACTGGGACTCGAATGGGGATCCTTAGCGAGCGCGGTTGTGACCTAGTCCTTTCCCTGGACGGCAGGTGTCGGGGCAGACGCCAGGTGAGTGGTGGGAGGCAGAGGGGTGGGCGCAGGGACTGCAGGCTGGGGGCTCCCCGGATTCCCCCCCAGCCTCCCCTGGCCAGCGAGGACTCCCGGGAACCCCCTCCCCTGCCTCCCCGCCCTCCGGACACCCAGCCCTGAGGCTTTGCCTCTGAGACGCCCCCCTGCCCTTCCCTCTGCTGCTTGCCCAAGGCGTTTTTGCTCCCGACTGGTTCAGGGCCAGCCACTCCCCTCCCCGTGTCCCCACAAGCTCAGCTCGTGTCCCCCACCTGCTCAGGAAACTGTCACTCTGCCCCCCGAGCCCGGCACGGGCTTCTCGCCCTGGCACTCGAGGCCTCCGCGGGTACTCGCTCCCCACCTGGCTGCGTGTTGACCGCAAGCGCCCCATTCAGGGCGAGCTTGAGCTCCGAGCTCCGGAACGTGCCGGACACTTGCCCGCCGCTGGGTGTGCGCTCTGGCCGCCCTTCCTCCCGCGCCTGCTGCGCCCTCGGCCTTTGCGATGAGCACGGCATCTCCCCGCGAGGATGCCCCTCCCTGGGCCCTGGACCGGGGACTCCCACCCCAGACCCCCGGGCAGACCTGCTCATGCCACCCCTCCCCGGCCACTGTGCCGGCGTGGTCACCTGTGTCCCCGGGCTGGGCACAGTGCCCGGCGCGTGGGAGGATGGCGTCTATCGGCTCCTGTGCAGGGCCGCAGCCCTGACCTCTGCCCCCAGCAGCCTCCTGGGCTTTGCACCTTCTCTCCCGTCCCCAAGGGCCTCTTTCAGGGGCTCCTTCCTGCTGGGGGAGGGGACAAGGCTGTAATCTGTCTCTACCCGCAGCTGCCACGGGGCCCCGGGGTGGGGAGGAGGACCCGCCGCTCGGCCGTGCCTGTGCGGAGACTTCCCTGAGCAGGCCTCGTGGTCCGGGAGCAGTGGACCCCAATACGTGCCCGTGTGGGTGTGGGCGGGACCTCAGATCCCTGCCACCGGGGTCCCCTGGCAGCACCCGGGGAGCGATGCCTCCTGCCGTGACAGGCTGGCGGGGACCTTCCCTGCTCAGGCTGTGCTGCCCGAATCCACCTGTGCCCCCAGCACCCGCCTGGCCTGCCCGCCGTGAGCCCCACGCACGGCGCGTGAGCCAGCGAGGGTCCCTTGTCCCGGGGGCCGAGAGGCGGGGACAGCAGGTGCGGTGGGCTGTGGCCCGTGTTCCGCACGCCCGGTGTGGGGCTCTCGCCAGCGGGCGGCTGGGGCCCTGGAGAGCGTGGCTGACTGTACCCCACGAAGACCCCGGCCCGCCCTCCCCGTCCTTAGAGCCCTGAGACCCGAGGGTTGGGGGGTTGCCAGTGTCCCCACCCACTCCCAGCATGCTGTGGGAGCCCCCCACGCCGCCGTGTGAGCCGTCACTGTAGTTGAGCTTGATTTCCTCCCGGGCACTGAGAGCTCACTCCTGGGAAGGCAGCGTCTGGTGGGGTGGCCACTCTGCCTCCGCAGCCCCGAGACCCGTCCCCGAGGGAGCTGCAGCCACGGGTCCGAGCTCCGCAAATGGGGTACGACCCCGTGTGGGCAGCAGAGCAGGGGTTCCGCTCACCTGCCCGTCCGCTCCACCGGCGTCCGTCCGCACTGTCCCAGGCCAGAGTGCCCGCACTTGTCACTGGGCTACCGCAGGGGCTCAGAGCCTGTCCCTGCCGGTGGCGCTTTGTCTCTGGGACGCGTCTCTCATTTTAAAGGCAAACGGACGAGAAGGGCGCCCTTCCCTCAGGGAGGCTGCCTGCGTGCCTGCGTCCTGCCAGGATGGAGGCCGGGGGTGGGGACAGTGAGGTCTCCCGGGCCAGGAGCGGGCGGGAGGGGCCCACTCCCCAGCCCTGGGCCCCAGGGCAGCTGCGGGTGGGCACGGTGCGGCCCCTCCCCCACCGGGACGGGATTTCCGCCCCGCAGCCCCCGTGGGCTGGTCGGCCACCACCTGTGTGGCCCTGGTGCCTGCCTGGACGCTGGGACTTTCTCAGGCGGGTGCTGCTCTCTGGCGGCCAGCGGGGGGGTTGCAGCAGGGGGGATGGCGCCGTAGCAGGGACACCCAGACCTGGGTGGAGGGACTTAGCAGGGACACCCAGACCTGGGTGGAGGGACCTGCTGAGCCCTCGCTCCGCCCAGGCCCCGAGGGGAGATGGTGGCTTCCTGGGGCCCGGGGGCTTCCCACGAGTGCACGTGTGGGTTGGTCCCGTCTAGGTGGCTCTTCGTGGCCTGACTTGGGTTCTCTTCTTACTGCGAGGAGGGCCGGGTGCTGGGGCAGAATGGAGCCGGCCCGGCTGGGACCGAGCCCAGCAGCCTTGGGGCAGCGTGTTCCCTCCCCGCCCTGTCTCCCCTCTGCTGGGTGGGGCCCAGCTTGTCTCGGGGCAGGACGCCCCACGCCCCCCACACCGGCAGCGCCCCTGACCCGGTTCTGTCCTTCCAGGACCTGGCGATGTACATCAATGAAGTCAAGCGGGACAAGGAGACCTTGAAGAAGATCAGCGAGTTCCAGAGTTCCATAGAGAACTTGGTGAGCGCAGCCGCTCTGCGGGCCGGGGCAGGGCGGGCGGGACGGCGTGTCTGAGATGTCACGGTCCCAATACCTGCTGCGTCCAGGGCCAGAGGGTGGTGCTGGCAGCTTCCGCATCCCATCTGGGGCGTCTGGCACTTGCTCTGCGTCACCCGTGTCAGCCGTGCCCAGTGCCCGGTGTGTGGGGACAGCCCTCTGCCTGGGGGCGGGGACGGGGCTAGTGTTGACCTCCTGGCCCCGTTCTTACTGCCCCACCTAGATGGAGATGCCTCAGGTCCAGGAGAACTGGCGGCTCCACGGGCCCCAGCCCGTCCTCATCTTGCCGCCTGCAGGAGGCAGTACGGGGGGTTCGGTCCCAGGGAGGGCAGGGCCTGTGGTCACCCTGCGACTCAGAGTTGATCAGGCAGGGCAATGCCTTGGGGGGCCCTGTCCCCAGCGATGCCTCAGGGGGCCCTGTCCCAGGCCTGCTCCGTTGGAGGCCATCACGTCCTGCCTGGGGAGAGGAGATGGGCCGTGCCAGCCAGTGCCAGCCTCTCCGGATCGGCTGGCTGTTACCCGCGTTTCTCCACCTCGAGCTCTGCACGTCTGGGCTGGGTGATCGCGGTTGTGGGACCCGTCTGTGCACCACGGATGCCGCGCGGCCCCCTGGCCTCACCCCGCAGGTGCCCGTCGCACCTGCCCCCGGCCCCACCGAGTGATGACAGCCAGCCGTGTCTGCAGACACTGCAGGGTGTCCCCTGGGTGCGAAGCCACCTGGCTGGGAACCGCTGGCTTTCACGCCAACACCTTCACGCCGGTGAGTTTCACCGGCACGGAAGCCTTGGCAGAGGAAGCCCGCAGACGCCCGGGCCGCTCCGGTGCCCGTGGCCGGAAGAGCCCAGAGGGAACTCCCCGCGCACACGGGAAACGTCCACGACGTGTCGTCAGTGAGAGCGAGAAGAGAAGTTTCCGAACGGCACCATGTTTCTGCCCCTTTCTCTTCATCTTACAAAGAAATGGAAACGACTGAGAGCAGAGGTCGAGCGAGGCTGGCTGGGCCCGCGCCGTCAGTGCCTGGCGCTGCCCTGCGTGCCCGTGTCCAGCACGTGGCATTTCTAAACGCTGCGCAGCGGGCGGGCTTTGCTTTCGGAGCACGAGGAAAGAAGTTGGTTTTGCTTTTTGCGGCTTTACACACGAGCGACACATGTCCGTTTGATAACCGGATGAGACGGCGGCCGCCAGCAGGGTGGGGCAGTCCTGTGAACCCAGAGCAGGCGGGGCGGTGCTCTCGGGCTCTGCGCCTCGGTGGTGAGAGACGATGCCCGAGTGGAGGGGCAGCAGGTGCGCGCCCCGCCCCGTGTGACTCCAGAGCTGCCCTTGGGCACCGCCCTCAGCCCCACCGAGGCTCAGCCCTGTGCACGTCTCCAAGTGTGCCCTCCACCGCCCGTCTGCATAGACGCTGCCTTTGGGGGCCGTGTCAAGGGAGAAGGACCCCCCACCCCCCGCCAGCGTCAGGGGAGCAGCGGAGACACAACCGAATAGAGGAGAAGACACACCCTCAGCAGACTCAGCAAGCAGAGTGGGACTGACTCGGAGCCTCTCCCTGTGGACGAGGGACCGCCGCCCGCCCCGCCGTCCGCCCTCCATGTGATGAGCGCCGTTTGTTCTCTCACTCGGCGCGCGGGGCTGGCCTGGCCGTCTGGCTCTTCCTGCAGGCCCTGCTCTGGGCTCCACCCTGTGGACGTGACTGCACCGCCCGCCTCTCTGTTCCCAGCACTGCTGGGCGTCCTGGGCGGGCTGGCCGGGGAGGGTCCGAGGCCCCGGGGCCCGTTGCTCCTGCAGCTTCTGCACCCCCCGTCTACACACCACCCGGGTGGTTCCCGCGGAGACCGCAGCGGGCGTGTGCGGCTGCCCTCGCTCCGAGGGGCGCTCCGTGCTGACGCCTCTCCCTGTCTTCTCCAGCAAGTGAAACTGGAGGAGTTCGGGAGGCCGAAGATCGACGGGGAGCTCAAAGTCCGGTCCATCGTGAACCACACCAAGCAAGACAGGTGAGCAGAGCGGGGCAGGTGGCCGCGGGGCTGGCTGGCCGGCGTCCGTGGCGTCCGGCACTGCGTTCCCGGGAGCCCTGCTCCCGAGTGGCTCTGGAAACGGGGCCTTCCTGGGGAAGGCGCGGCCGCCGGGCGGCTTTGTGTCGTTCAGTTTTAATCGCTTCCTTCCTTTCTTTGAGAGCCTCGGGGAGCTGCGTCAGCCGGCGGCTGCCACGGGTGGGGCTGCCCTGCCCGTGGAGGGAGGGCGGGTGGGGAGCTGGGGGCAGCCGAGAGCAGGGCCGGCCCCCCACGATCTCTCAGTCTGCGGGGGCCGAGACAGACCCAGCCTGGCCCGCTGAGCTCTGTTTCCATGTCTGCGGGGAGGGCGAGGGCGGGTGACCGGGAGGCTGGGACACGCTGGCACGGTCTGTGCTTACTCCTGTCCTCCGTGTGCACTCACGTGTGCGAGGGCTGGGGCTATGGCAGGTTCAGGCCCTGCCCTCTCGGGGGCCCCAGTCTAGTGGGGGGTGGAGACGGGACCTGGCCGTGACCCTCAGGGGCCAGTGCCGTGAGGACGGCCTATGTCTGGGAGACGCCCCTTTGAGGGGCTGGGGACCGGCCTCAGCCACAGGGGTGGGGCCGGAGGCTTCCTGGGAGCGGGGATCAGCCAACCGGGCTGGCGGAAGCCAGCGGGCGGCCGTGCGGAGGCTCCAAGGCCCAGCCCGTTGCGGGGCGGCAGGCCACGCTGGCCGCCCCACGCCACTGGGCCGCGCGCGCCGGTGAGCTGACGGGCCCTGGTGCACCGTCCGGCCAGGTACCTGTTCCTGTTCGACAAGGTGGTCATCGTCTGCAAGCGGAGGGGCTACAGCTACGAGCTGAAGGAGATCATCGAGCTGCTCTTCCACAAGATGACGGACGACCCCATGAACAACAAGGACATCAAGAAGGTGGGCCCTGCAGACGCGCCGGCCGGGCGGCCGAGGGGCCTGGGGAAAGGCTGGGTGCCAGCCCCGGTGAACGAGTTGACGTGCGCTGACCGGCGGGCTGGGGCGGGCGGCAGGGGTCCCCCGGCATCGCCTCGTCATTGTGCCGGTGGTCGTGCCGGCCGCCTGTGCTGGGCCAGCGCTCGCTGGGGCGTGGGCACGATCAGGATCCCGGCTCCCCAATGGGGAGACTGAGGCAGAGAGGGGAGAGGTCCTGCGTGAGGCTTCTGTCCCGGACCAGCCTGACTCCAGCCCATGCTGTCCCTTGTAGCCAGAGGCCTTCCTCTCCCCTCCACCTCTGCCCTGTTTGGAGGACGGCTGTGCGTGGGCCTGGCTGTGGCCTGTCAAAAGCTCTGATGTGCAGGGGGCGGGGCCCATAGCTGTGGGGGCAGGGCTCATGGCTCTGGGGGTGGGGCTCATAGCTTTGGGGGCGGGGCTCATGGCTGTGGGGGAGGGCCTCATAGCTGTGGGGGCGGGGCTCATGGCTGTGGGGGAGGGCCTCATAGCTCTGGGGGCATGGTTCATGGCTGCGGTGGCAGGGGTCATAGCTCTGGGGATGGGGCTTATGGCTGTGGGGGTGTGGCTATAGCTGTAGGAGACAGGCCCATAGCTGTGGGGCGGGACTTATGGCTGTGGGGGTGTGGCTATAGCTGTAGGAGACAGGCCCATAGCTGTGGGGCGGGACTTATG